ACCCTGCATCCTGCTCCCTACACAGCAGAGAGCCTGCTTCTCCCTCTACCTCTGCCTGCCGCTCTTGCCTACTTGTGCTCTCTATCTCTATATTTCTGTCAAATAAAGAAATATATTTTTAAAAAATTGAGGGGGGCGCCTGGGTGGCTCAGGGGGTTAAAGCCTCTGCCTTCAGCTCAGGCATGATCTCAGGGTCCTGGGATTGAGCCCCAAATCAGGCTCTCTGCTCAGCAGGGAGCCTGCTCCCACCCCCCACCACCTGCTGCTCTGACTGCTTGTGATCTCTCTCTCTGTCAAATAAACAAGTAAAATCTTAAAAAAAAAAAAAAAAAAATTAGGAGCTTTATACCAGGAACTCGGGAAAAAAAGCAAACATATTTTTTTTTTTAATTACACCACACTCATCCTTCAGGTCCTGGCCCAGTGTTCCTTCCTCCAAGACCACATCCCAGAACCCCAAACTAAATGGTCTTCCCTTGTTCTCTCCCAGAGAACCGTATTAGTTTTCATCATAGTACTTCCCACAGTTTTTTCCTTGCTTCATATCTGTGCTCACAGTTAGAATCAAAGCTTAAGAGAACAGGTTCACTGTCTCTTTCAGGCACACACAGACACACACACACACACACACACACACACACACACACACCTCTCCAGCCCCTAGCACACAGTCACGTGCAAATACATGTATGTAAACTAGATCTTCAGGAGAAGTGCTGAGTCTCAAGGAACCAGAGGCACCAGCCTCTCTGAGGGAAAGAAGTTGGTGGAGCCCGTTGATGGCACGCTCTCAAGGGCATGTAGAGGCCACATGCTAATTCGGTAGCTCATGAGCAGGTCTTACGTATATTCTTGGAACATGCATACAGATTGAGGTGACCCTGCTGCCAGGTACCAGCCCAGTAAGGAGTCGTCCCTTCTGGTGGAAGACTGAGTGATACCATCAGAATTGGCTGGGACCGTGGAATCTTGTGTAGCAAACAAGGACAAATGACGCTCTTGTCATTTCTTCTTTTGAAGGTGGAACCTTTGGACAAGAATCCAGTGCTCCCCACCCCTGGAGTTTGTTTAATAACTCAGAATGATGATGATCTTTTAACTTAGAAAAGAGTCCTTTTTATGAACACGAGGAATGAAATATTTTCCCCAAGCAAGTTAACCAGGTCCCAAAGGATCTAAGTGACAATAAGGGGAAAAGAAAGATATCCAGACAATCCTAAGCAGCACTCTGAAGAACAGCTCAGATAACACAGAAAAGAGAATGGGGGGTCGGTGGGGGGGCAGGGCACTCAGGGATTCAAGTGAGAAAATCATTGTGAGGGGAGTTAGAAAGAGTACTTCAAAACTCAGGCACAGTGAAGTAAACTCTAGACTCTGACAAATCCATTAAGCCCTCTTTGTATCTTAATGAGATGCTACTCGAGACTCCAGTAGGAGCCTTGTGAATGAAGAGGGAAATAATAAGACCCCATTATTTGCTTGCTGTGAGAATCAGATGAAGTCATGTATGTGAAAGGGCTTTGTATCTGGGAGCATGGTGCCAGGGTGGTTAGGACAACTGGTAGTAGTAAGAGGGACCAACACTCTGTGGACATCTTTGTGGCTGGGGTCACAGATGCCTTAGAGGCCAATGTCTGAGTGAGGATAAAAAAGGAGAAATAGGTGATGTCACATCACTTGGCCCAAAAGAGGGCATGTAATGGGAATTTCAGTTAGAGGCGAGATACAATGTTCTTGTAAAACTTAATTACTTGAACTTCTGCTAGACCCTTGCCACACTGACAACATTCTGACAAGTCCATTTCACGTTCCGGAAGATAGACGTGAGTATGAGTTCCTGCCTCTCTGGATCTAATGCTGACCAGAATGGTGAAGTGCACGTCACAGCAGCTCAGTAAGAAGCAGTGTGTCTCTGTGTTCAAGCTAGGTTAGAGGTCAAGACCAGGCCAAGAAAATGCATATGTAGTTTTAGAAAAGCCAGATTTGTGAGAGCAGGAAATGATAACCATTTGTTAATAGTCTTGCCCTCTGGAGAGAATGTTCAGGATGCTCTCAAAAATATCATTCTAGGGACACCTGGGTGGCTCAGTGGGTTAAAGCCTCGCCTTCAGCTCAGGTCATGATCCCAAGGTCTTGGGATCGAGCCCTGCATCAGACTCTCTGCTCAGTGGGGAACCTGCTTCCTCTTCCCTCTCTCTCTCTGCCTGACTCTCTGCCTACCTGTGATCTCTGTCTGTCAAATAAGTAAATAAAATCTTAAAAAAAAAAAAAAAAATCATTCTAACTGCACAATAGTTAAGCTGGTGAGAAACAGAGGTCCCAAACACTGAGCTCTCACACAAATTGTGAGTTTGCAAAAGACATAGACTAAAGGTAGAAAGAGAAACTTAGAATCAAGGCATGGATTTTTTTGAGAATAGTCTCAGGGAAGTATAAGCCTTTGAAAGCACGAACAGGTTTAAGACAAAAAGGTGAAATGTTTCTTGTTTTCTCCTTAGGTACAGAGCTGACAGAAAGTGAGAGACTCTTAGCCTGGGGCTAGTGTCCTAGTTTTGAAAGAGAAATGCACGTCTTTGATGATCTCTGAATGACTTTGGCAAAATGTTAATAATTGCCAAGGCTAAGTGATGGACGTAGGAATTCACTAGATCATTTCCTCTACTTGTGTGTATGTTTGAAAATTTTTCACGGTTTAATGTTTCTTTAATTTCATTTACATGGGAAAATCTAGAAAACAGTTGACAAGAGGGACTGCAGTAGGGTGAACACTGAGTTACAGCACTACCTATACCCAAACTGTGGTAGGAAGGAACGAAGGGAGGTAAATCAGTGAGTGCCACCTTTTTTGAAACAACTGGAATGTTCTTTGTTGTTGTATTACCCTAGGAGAAATCTCATACACATATCAGCTTTGAGGAACAATCACTGTGTGTTAGTATGCTGTTTGTGTCACTTCTTAGAAAAACTGGAGGGCACCTGGGTGGCTCAGAGGGTTAAGCCTCTGCCTTTGGCTCAGGTCATGATCTCAGGGTCCTGGGATCGAGCCCCACATCAGGCTGTCTGGTCAGCGGGGAGCCTGCTTCCCCCCCTCTCTGCCTGCCTCTCTGCATACTTGTGATCTCTCTCTCTATCAAATAAATAAATAAAATCTTAAAAAAAAAAAAAAGCTAGAATCAGTAGAAGAAACTGGGTTGCTGTTGTTTTTAACAAATCTGTGTTGAAGATGGAAGCCCCTAGGTCAGGAGGTGGTGGAGGGGAAGAGGACACAGACCTGAGCCGTACTGTCTTACACCTCTGGATTGAGGGTAGTCCTAGGAGAGGCCTCTGAGTGGCACCAAGGTGCTCACTTCCAAAGACTTAGTCCCGTGTTCAACTGTATTGGTGGCACCTTGACCAACTTGGAAGCTGTGCTCATTCCCTCCTTGCCCTTTCATGTGGATTTGCTCCCTCCTTGTGTTCCTATCAGAATTAAAATAACAAAAAGCAGGAAACCAAGAAAGACAGATTACCCTGAGACTCCTTTACTGCTTCTCCCTGTTCTCCCCAACTTCTCCTGGGTGAGGCGTGCCCCCCAGGACATTCTTCTATATTTGTAATTCACTCCCTGGGTGGACCGCATCCAGATTTATTACTTCAGATACACCACTGCCCCTCGAACATCACAGGTTTTTTCCTGCAGGTCCACTTATACATGGATTTTCTTCAATAAATACAGTATAGTAAATGTACTGTCTTTTCCTTATGATTTCCCCTTTTCTTAAGATTTATTTACTTACATAGCCCTCCACCCGGACCCCCTTTTCTTTACCATCTTTTTATTTCCGTGGCATTTACTACCTTCTGACTTGCTCTATAAGTTCCTTGTTTATTTTGTTTATTTTTTATCCCCACCTGATGGAATGTCAACTCCATGAAAATAGCGGTCTTTTGTCCGGTTCATCAGTGTATTTTATGGGCCTAGAACAGGACCTGCCTCAATAAAGTATTGATTAAAAGGAAAATTGAGACCATCAGGGAGGCACAAGGACCAGGAGAGTCAGGACAGCCGAGAGGCCCAGTAAGACAGGAACCAGAAGGCTCTCCCCCGAGTGATGACCCTGGCAAGCCCCTTCTCTTTCACATCAGGGAATTCACTGGAGATGTCTTTCCTTCATTCATGTTGGGGCAGCGGGGGACTGTGGGAGCCTTGAGAGGGTGGGAGTTCAGTCATCCTCACACCTCAGCGCGCCCCCTGCAGCCGGCTTGAGGACCTACCTCCAGCCAGCAGCTGGGTGCACTGGGGTTGCAGTTCTGGAAGCAGACCTGTGCTGCAAATGCCTTGTGTCTGCGGTAACAGAAGTCTGTCATTCTGTCTGCTGTCGAGGTTGCTTTTCAAACCATCCACACCTGGTTTACAGATGAGAGAACGTTAAAGCATTTGGTTATAAGACCAGTGGCGAGTTATTCTCTGCTAATACTTTTAAGAAAGTTATTTGGCTTGAGGTTGATCATTTTATTTTATAAAAATTATATGAATTTATTTTATAAAACTATGATTGAATATATTATTATATATACATTTATTTCTTCTTGTGTTTTCCTCTTCCGTATGAAAAACTGGTGGTTACGTTAATAACGAACTTTTCTCATGTTTTAAGTTTTATCAGTAAAGGTTTGCTAAGTCAATTAAATAGCATGCGTGTCATTCATTATTATTACTCTAGGTTTTATTTTTCTTCTTTGGGATAAGCCTTGAGGGGCCATTCTGATAAAAGGCCCCGTGGGCGGTTGGAGCTCTTAACCAGTGCCTTTGGGGGCAGTACATGTAGTCCGGAAGCTCAGCTCTTCACAGCCTTCTCCCACTTGCTTCCTGTGAGCTGGGACATGGTTGTGATGAGTCGTGGAAAAAGTGCTCAGAGTTGGGCTTTGGGGTGACCCTCCCTGCCTGGCCGAGGCGTGGGTGGGTGATAGTACTGATTCTGGGGGCTGGGATAATAACTCAGTACTTTCCTTTCTCACAGTTGTTTCCTCTCTTTGCTCCTGGTGGCTGCTGTGGTTTGGAAGATCAAACAAAGTTGCTGGGCCTCCAGGCGGAGAGAGGTAAGCCTCAGGGGATGAAGGTTCATGAATGCCTTGTGAGAGCTTCTTCCTTTCTGTTTCTCTAAAGCAAGTCAGTTTTAGCGATTTAGTGATAATTGATAGACATATCACAGGGGAACTCGGGTTGCCCTGTCTGCAGAATGTGGTCTGTAGATTTTGATTAGTGTATATAAAGTAAAATTAGTTCTGCACCACATGCCTTTAACTTTCTAAAAGGAATCTTTAGTATTTTTAGTCTTTAGTATTGACTTAACAGCTGCTAATTCTACTCTTTCTACCAGCAGTCTGTCCTTAACTCAGGCAGGAGATCTGGGGGCTCAGAAGTAGGGCTTTTCATGAGAAGGAGGGTAAAATCAACCAGCTAAGCATCTTAGAAATGTCTCATCACTCAAAGATAAATCCGTGTCTAGTTAAGTTTTTGCTTGAATTTCATTTTTTTAATGAGTCTTGATATATATCCAGAACTCTGTTCCAAAAGTAATATCGAAATGCAGTAAGATGAAACCAGAGAGGGACACAAACCATAAGAAACTCTTAATCTCAGGAAACAAACTGAGGGTTGTTGGAGGGGGGAAGGGTGGAAGAATGGGGTGACTGGATGATGGACATTGAGGACGGTATGTGTTGTGGTGAGCGCTGTGTGTTGTATAAGACTGATGAATCACAGACCTGTACCCCTGAAACTAATAATACATTAATGTTAATAATAAAAATACTAAGTCTCACAAATATTTACAATTGTGACCAGTCAAATAAATAAACTTGGTTAAAAGTGACAGCATAAACTCATCGTTTATCGCACCTTTCACCGATGTTATTACTCTGCCTTCTAGCAGTCCTGTCTCCTGTTGCATTGTTGATAATGGAAGGGCGCTGAGGTCTAGGCTGACCGCACTCCTCGGTCTTCTGTATCTATTCATGCCCTTTTCTATATAAAAATCGATCTACAGACAAGATTTAGAAGAGAACGGAAATATCCCATATCAAAACTCAGAGGCCCGCAGCACTGTTACCAGAACATTAATGTCTGGAATGAGGGCCTCCTCCTGGGGGCCGTGACCCCTTTTCTGACCCACATAAAGGTGATGTTAGCATAGAGGTAATGTTGCATCCTTTTTATTATCATTCTTAAAATTCAGTGGGTAACATATTCAGAGGAATTTTTTTTAATAGCCCCATTACTAATACATTTTAAAACCCAATAAATTGTACCATTTTTTTTAATTGTACAGTGTTCTTAAAAAAAAAAAAAAAAACACATGTTATCCAAACAGAGTAAGAAAGAAGTGGGAATCCTCAATAAACCAGTAGCCAGAGAAGGAATTGAAAAGGTGTCAAAATATTACTCTCTCCATGAAGGGCATTACCCTAGGAGTTTCCATTTGAGATGAGCTTATGGAAATAATCATAATGGTCTATTTCTCCTTGAGTGTTTAGGAGAATTATTTCCAAAATACCTAAACTGTTCCAGATAAAGGGAAAAGATGGAAAGCTTAAAGAGTCCTCATTCATTGTATCCATAGAAACTTCGAAACCAAACCAAAGGCCAGTCACACAGTGACTGTATGTGGAGCAGTCTAATTTACCAGTGTAATAAAAGGATCATTTGCTCCCAGAAACCCTGTCAGAATACCTTATATCAGTGGTTAAAAATAGTACCTAAATTTTTAGTAGTGGCCAAGTAATCACTTAGTCATTTATTGAAATTCAACACTGGTTCCTGCTTTAAAAAACTAAACTCTTCGTAAACTCAAAAATAATACCTCCTTTTAACACTATAAAGAATATCCAAATAACCAACATCACTCATGATATAAAATACTAGAGGTTGTACCAACAAAATCTAGACAAGTTTGTCCTAAGAAGAGCTGGCATTTGAGCATTTCTAAATTCCAGGCACTGTTCTAAGAGGTTTTATGTAGATTAACTGATTTACTCTTCATAACAAGCCTGTGAAATACTTACTGACCCTGTTTCACAGATGAGGAAACTGAGGCTCGGGGAGGCAGAAAAATAAATTACTCTGTGCCTCATTGCATAGTTACTATTAGACCAAACTGGGCTTTAAACTTGGGACTTCGGTCCTCACAGGCCACGTGCCTAGTCCTGTAGTCCCCATTGTCACTTAATTCTGTTCTGGACATTCTAGGCTGTGCACTCTGAGAAAGAGAAATAAATTTTATTACTATTGGAAAGGGGCAAAGTTACTATTTTCAGATAAGATGATAGAAGCACAGTAGAGTAGCGATTTGCCTGCATAAAAAGTAATAAAGTATATCAAGAATAAATCAATGAAGACAAACAGCCCACTAGAAAATGTTTGCAACATACTTGAAAGAAAATATGGAGAGGATGAACACCTTGTAGAAAAGGTTTTTTAAAAGTATGCTTATGACTCTAAATAAAATTTTAAAAAGATATTTCTTCATTCTGTAGGAATGGTGAATGTCTGGTGAAGAAGAGGTTTTCTTTTCTTCAGCCACACCAGAGAACATGCTTTATCAAGGAGGAAGGAAGAATTAGAAGATTCCTACCTTGCAGGGTTAGGATAGGCTTTATTTAGGTTCCGTAAGAATAATAGTTTCTTCAGCATATTATTTTTTTTTTAAGATTTTGTTTATTTATTTGACAGAGATCACAAGTAGCAGAGAGGCAGGCAGAGAGAAGAAGGGAAGCAGGCTCCCTGGTGAGCAGAGAGCCCGATGCGGGGCTTGATCCCAGGACCCCGGGATCACGACCTGAGCCGAAGGCAGAGGCCTTAACCCACTGAACCACCCAGGCTCCCTCAGCATATTATTTTTTAAATCATTTAAATTTCTTTAGAAGTCCCAGATTAAACTTCTTTAAGAATTCCCCCACCCCTAAAAAAGTATGCTTATGACAACAGTGTTTATCAACAAACTAACTAAACTTTTACCCTTGCCATTTAAAATTTCTCTAACTGTGAACCCGGCTGTTGAGAATATATTTCGGCATTTTCCCCAGCTTCAGTCATGGCTTATCCCTCTCAGATTTGTAGAAGAAATGACTTACTGGGATTTATTATAGAAGTCATAGCAGTTGACACTCCTGAAGTGCCCACTAGACGCCTACACACATTACCTCCTGCACTCTTCCCAAAGGAACTTCCAAACCGGAGGAGCGTGGGCGCTCTGTCCTGCTGTGACTCCAGCTCTGGGAATAGCACAGAACCCAAAGTAGGGCTGCCGCTTGTATTTGTTGAGTAAGTGGACCAACAGCTTGACGAGATGTAGAATGTTAGTGTTTTAAGAAAATGTTTAAGATAAAAATATCCTTCTAAAACAGAGCCCTGATCTATCCAGACTAAGATTCTATCTCCTTCCTACCATAGTTCCAAGTGGGCGGTTTGCAGTCAGGCCTGGTTGTCTTCCATGGAATGACCGACCTCCAGGCTTCAGTGACGTGCCCAGATTGCTAATATCCTCAATGACACGTGATTGATATATATTGATCCCACCATGTGCAAGGCGCTGAGCTGGGTTTTGAAATGTTTCCTTTGAACCTGCTAACACTCTTAGCACATTAAAAACCCATTTCAGAGAAGAGGGAACTGAAGCCCAGAGACTTTAAACACCTTTTTTTAAGGTGATACAGCTAGAAAGCTTTGGATCAAAGATTCATATCCAAGCCTCCCTAAATCCAGAGCCCCTGCTTGTACCTGTCACTGTGCCAGACTTGACATGTTTTTGTTTTCAGCTTATACCACCCCTGGGAACAGAGAGCTCTTTCCATTCCTATCTGTGGTCTCAGTACAAGTTTCAGTAGGAAGGAAGAAAGCCTGGCTTTAGTAATAAAAACACGAGGAGACAGGGCTCTGGCATTTATTTCATGTACTTAACAAGCAGGCACCACAGCACTCTGTCCATCAGTACTTATCCTGTATCTCTAACCAGTAAGGACTTTTTTTCTTTAATATATGACGATAGTGCTGTCATCACATCCAACAAAATTTAGTAAGTCCTGATGATACCTGGTCTGTGTCCAGTTTTCTCCAGCTGTCTCAAAAATAACGTTTTGGACTTGATTTGTTTGAAGCGGGGAGGATGAGGTACTTTTAATATGTCGCATCCCTTATTAAATTCCCCTCAGCACTCGGTCTGCTAACACTTGCCACAATATTACTCCGTAGCAACTTCTTCGAGAGATGCAGCAGATGGCCAGTCGCCCCTTTGCCTCCGTAAACGTTGCCTTGGAAACAGATGAAGAGCCTCCTGATCTTATTGGGGGGAGTATAAAGGTGAGAACGTGATTCAAAAGTCCCGAAAACTTGTAGAGAACAAGAGCCTTATTCTATTGCCTCGTAATTATGTGTTCCTCTCTCTCTCTCTCTCTAGCCATCAGACAGCACACTGATGTTGTCACATATTCTTTTGCTTTCATTTTTCAGTCTTTCATTCATGTTGTTAAGCATTCTCGTGGTCAAAGAATTTGAAAATATAAATGGTTTGTCTCAAATTCTTATTAAGTATTCTGTGACATAATACTTTAAAATTTATATTGGAGAAGAGCTAAATTGCAACATTGCTTTTTATAAGGAGTTTAGGGAATTTTCTTAAAGGGGCAAAAATTATGAGTCACTATGCATTCCATGAAATATAAATATTTCTGACTCCTCCAAAAGGAAATGAGGAAGAAAGTGAGAAAAGTTTCTCTTTTGGCAAAATGAAATATTTCAGATACTCTGGGGAAACAGCTATAGATCCTGAATTTTAAAATACTTATTAAAGCATTACTGAGCTCAAAGGAAGTAGGTGTAATTCCCAGGGAATACTCTCCTATCCCCCACCCCCAAAAAGAACAAATCGTGAACCCAAGCCAGAACGATGTGTGGTCTGAAGTGGTTCCAGCTTGGTAACACACCGTGACTCCCTGCTGACGTAGGTGCAGATCCTCTCTGTGGGAAAGCATCCCCAGTCCAGCCATGTAGGATCCCCACAGATCAAGATCAAGCCATCAGAGCTCACCGAGGACCAGAGAGACAACCCACTGAGAATAAGAGTTAGCAGACGCCATGGACAGTGGTTTAGACAGAACTTCCCATGTCAGAGCGGCATCTCAAGCACATAATATAGCTCTGTCTGAAATGTTTAAAGATGGGAAAGATGGAGTTGTAAAGATGAGGAGACCATAAATCAAAAAGGACCGGATCTTAAAAAGAACCAAATGGAACTATTAGAAATGGAACATACGAAGACACCTGGCTGGCTCAGTTGGTAGAGCATGTGACTCTTGATCTCGGGGTTGTGAGTTCCAGCCCCATATGGGGTGTAAAGATCACTTAGGTAGATAAATAAACTTAAAAAAAAAAAAAACATGGACTATACAGGGGTTGAGATTTTTTAAATAACTCAGTTTACACGTTAAACAGCATGTCAGACACAAGTGAAGACAGAATTTTTGAACTGGAAGATGAATCTGAAGAAATTACACAGAATGCAGAACAGAGAGACAAGAAGATGGAAACTGTGACAAATGATAAGAATATGGAGGATAAAAGAAGAAGACCTAAAGTGGCTTTTATACTATATTGTGGGATTGCCACAGTGTGAAGAAATCGGAATGCTTGCGCACTGTTCGTGGGAATGTGAAATCATGTAGCTGCTGTGGAAAACAGTATTGGTCTCCCTTAAAAAAAAAAAAAAAAAAGAATTGCCTTGTAATCTGGCAGTTCCTCTTCTGGATATACCTGCTGGAATGGAAAGCAAGGTCTCAAAGCTACATTTGCACACCCATGTTCATAGCAGCATTATTCACAATAGCTAAAAGTGGGAGCAACCCTAATGTCCATCAGTAGATGAATGGGTGTGCAAAATGTGGCCTATACACTCAAGGGAATATTAGTCAGTCTTAAAAAGGGGGGAAATTCTGACGCATGCTACAACATGGGTGAACCTTGAGGACATTATGCTAAGTGAAATAAGCCAGTCACAAAACAAATACTGTATGATTCCACTTTTCTGAGTTATCTAGAGTATTCAAATCCCAGTGACGAAGTATAATGGTGGTTGTCAGGGGGTTGGGAGAGAGGGGCATAGGGAGTCAGTATGGGTGTAGGGTTTTAGTTCTGTGAGAGGAGAAGAGTTCTGGAGATGGATTGTGGTAATGGTTGCATAACAACATGATACTTAATACCTCTGAAGTGTAAACTTAAAAAGGGTTAGGATGGAAGAAAGGGTGGCGGGGGAGGCGCCTGCATGGCTCAGTTGGTTAAGTATCTGTCTTCAGCTCAGGTCATGATCCCTGGGTCCTGGGGTCGAGCTCTATATCGGGCTCCCAGCTCAGCAAGGAGTCTGCTTCTCCCTCTCCCTTCCACTCCCCCTGCTTGGGCTCTCTCTCACCCTCCCCGCCCTCACCCCACCAAATAAATAAATAAACAAAAATAAGAGGGTTAGGATTGCAGGGGGGTGCCTGGGTGGCTCAGTCGGTTACGCTTCTGTCTTCGAGGATCCTGGGATTGAGCCCTGTGTTGGGCTCCCTGCTTAGCACGGAGTCTGGTTCTCCCTCTCCTCCCCGCTTGTGTTCTCTTCGCTATCTCTGTCTCTTTCTCTCTCAAATAAAAGAAGTCTTAAAAAATAAAAGGGGTTAAGATGGTATATGTTATCTGTATTTATTACATTAAAAAATAACTGGGGGGGGGCGGAGAAAAGATCACCAAAAGGAAATGACAGAGCAAAGCTGACTTCTCATTAGTAACACCAGAAGCCAAGTGAGTGTGGAAGAATGTCTCCAAATGACATCAGGAGGAGAACTGCCAGTCTAGGATAGCGTGCCCCTGAAACTGCCTTCCAAGAACGAGGACAGAAGGAAGATTTCTTCTAATGAGAAGGAAAGCAAAGTTGACCACCACAGACCTGTACTAAAGAAATGTCTGCAGGATGTGCTGGGAGAAAGTTAAACTACCCAGAAGGATGGACTGAGGAATAAGAAGGAAGAGTGAGAAAATGAAATGGTAAGCATATACACATCTAAGCAAATATGATAAAATAACAATTTGTGGGATTAAGAAAAATAGACAAATTGAAAGTACTGAGAGGCACCATACATATTACTCTGTCAAATGCTTTACTGACTCTCTTTCCAGGACACATACACTCTCACCTTCTGGCTGCTCTGGTTCAGTGTTCTCTATTCAATGCTCTCCATTTCCCCACACCTCTAAGAGCGGTGCAGGTCCGCCTCGGTCTTTGGGCCTCCTCTCACGCCTTCTACACTCACTCCTTTGATGTCCGTCTTAGTCTGTTTGAGCTGCATACAAAGTAGCAGAGACTGGGTGTCCTAGAAATGACAGAAATTTCTCAGAATCTCCGAGGCTAGGAAGTCCAAGATCAAGGTTCTGGCAGATTCAGTGTCTGGTGAGAGCCCCCTTCCTGGTTCGTAGATGGTGCCTTCTCACTCTGACTTTACGTGGTGGAAGGGGCTAGGGAGCTCTCTGGGGTCCCTCTAATGAGGGCACCAATCACCTCTCAGAGGCCCTACCTCCAAATATTGTATTAGGCATTAAGATTTAACACACGAATTTTAGAAGGACACATTCAGACCCACAGCAGTGATCTTTTCCATCGTGGGTTCATCTTAACACCATGATCTCAGAGCTCTCCTGGGAGCCGCCAACTCCTGTATCCATTTGGTTGCTTACTCGGCATCCCCACTTGTCTTAGCAGCAGTCTCAGAGTTGACCTATCCAAAGCTGAGCTGTGGATATTATCCCCCCAGTACCTCCCCTTGGCATATTGCCCCCAACTCCGTACATCATCTGAGCCACTCCAGGCCGAAGTCCTGGAGTTGTGCTTGGTCCATGCTTGCTCTCATTCTCATCGGACAGTCAGTCCATCAGCACATGTCTTTGGTTCTGTCTTCCACCCCTGCACACACCTGCGCCGCTGTCACCATACTGATCTAAACCACTGTCCTCTCACCTAACCCATCCTTCCCTGTGCTGCAGCCACAGCGGTTCCAGAAGTCATTTTCTTCAACCAAATTGAAAAAAATGAATGACACATTTGGGGGTATGGAGACAGAATTCTAAAGATGGCCACCACGATTCCCCACTCATGGTTTTTCAGTCCATCACTATTCTAAGTGCTGCTCTGAAGGGATTGGGCAGAAGTCATACAAATCCCAAGGTAGCTGAGACCTTAAGACACTGAGGGGCTTTTCTCTGTGTGGTGGCAGAAGAGGAAACATGCAGAGGACTTGGCATGCCAGCACTGATTTGAAGCTGGAGGGGCTGCGGGAGGAAGCCTCTGGAAGAGAGTGGCCCCTTGCAGCAAGGAAGTGGGAACCTCAGACCTACAGTTGCAAGGAATTGGATTCTGCCGGCCACCTGAGGGCACCTGAAAGAGCTTTGAACAGATCCTTCCCTAGAGCCTGCAGAAAAGAGCCAGCCCAGATGCTAACTTGACTTCTACCTGTGAAGATAAGAGCTGAGATCCTGGAGACCTTTGAGAGATAAGAGCTGGGAATTTCCCAGAACTGATGGAAGGGATGAACAGACCTATATCTGTAAGCAGGAACCCTATGGAGCTCTTCTGGACTTCTGACTTGCCCAACCGAGCTAGATAATAAATAAGTCCTGCAGCAATGGCCACAACAGCCAAACTATGGAGAGAACCTAGATGTCCATCAACAGATGAGTGGATCAAGAAGATGTGGTATAGATACACAATGGAATACTATGCAGCCATCAAAAGAAACGAAATCTTGCCATTTGTGACGACATGGATGGAACTAGAGGGTATTACGCTTAGCAAAATAAGTCAATCAGAAAAAGACAACTATCATATGATCTCCCTGATACGAGGTAGTGGAAATGCAACATGGGGGGTTTGGGGGGTAGGAAAAGAATAAATGAAACAAGATGGGATTGGGAGGGAGAGAAACCGTAAGAGACACTTAATCTTACAAAGCAAACTGAGGGTTGCCAGGGGGAGGGTGGTGGGGTTATGGACATCGGGGAGGGTATGTGCTATGGTGAGTGCTGTGAAGTGTGTAAACCTGGCGATTCACAGACCTGTACCCCTGGGGCTAATAATACATTATATGTTTATTTAAAAAATTATAAAATTATAAAAAAAATAAGTGCTGCTGTAAGCAACCAAGATTACACAGCAATAGAAACTAAGAGAGGACATCTTTAAAAATCATGATGGGGCTGGGGTAGCTGGGTGATGGACATGTAATGAGCACTGGTTGTTATATAAGACTGATAAAAGATGGATGAATCACTGACCTCTACCTCAGAGGCCAATAATACATTATATATTAATTAATTGAATTTAAATTTTTATTAAAAATGAAAAAAAAATTCAGAAATGAAGGCTGCATCATTAACATGTGAGAAACCCCGGTTTAAGTAGTTCTTTGTTATCTCCCACCAGACCATTCCCAAACCCATTGCCCTGGAGCCGTGTTTTGGCAACAGAGCTGCTGTCCTCTCTGTGTTTGTGAGGCTCCCTCGAGGCCTTGGTGGAATCCCTCCTCCTGGGCAGTCAGGTGAGTAGATGAGGGCCGGTGACGAACAGGACGTGAACATGGGTGTAGAAGTGATAGTGAACCGGAGGCCTGTGCCTACCTCCTGTCATTGTGAGGATCCGGGGAGATGATCCCATTGTCCCTGGTGTTCCCTACACTGTCTGTCCTGAGGTCATGGTTCCTTCCCAGGGATGAGCTGGGAGCACCCCATTCCCTCGGCCTCCCAACGGTGGTGACACTCCCGGCCACACCTTCCCTTGCTGCGCTTTTGCCTTTTGCCGGCTCTGGCTTTTCTCCCTTGCTCAGCCCTGACTGTAGGCCTTCTGCCCTCCAGCCATATGCTCATCCACAATCGTCTTACCTACTCTAGTGGCCCCAGCTAGCCCCTTCAAGCTGGCCACCCTCAACTTGGTATTTCTAGCACTGCTGCATTTCTTTCGCCTTTCACTCTGTTTTAGACAGAAGGCACAGTTTTAACAACTTATACGAAGTCTTAGAAATGTACTCACAATCCACCAGTGTTCACTGTTCTCTTTCCTTTCCAGCCCTGGCCAGCTTTGTTGAAATAATTGTATAGATCTCATTTTTATTCTTCTTTTTTCATGTAACTATCATAAATATTTTAATACTTTACTGCCCCACGTTTTTACCAGTTTCTTTTATGCAATTCCATCAAGTACACAGATCATGATTTCAATAGACATCCTCTTATCAAAGGCCAAGGAGATATGGAATACAGTTTTGGAAATATCCTGATCAATTGTGGAATACTCTGAGGGATGCCTCAGACAAGATGCACCATACGTTTTAGACAGCTTTCAGTTGAAATGATTTTGGGGGTCAGGGTTGCCTTAGCCAGAGAAAGCCTCGTGTCTGTGATAAAGTATGTTCTAGAATCCTTGCCCAGCCCGGAGCTCTGCAGCGAGTGCAGCCTTCAGATCCAAAGCCACCTCTGGCTGAGCTCTTGAAATGGTTTCTGGGTCCTCACGAGCGAGGCCTTTAGGCTCAGCCAGGCCAGGCTTTATTGTCTTCATTTCACAGGGAAACTGCTTGATTTGCTCTCACCTGGGAATATGAGTTCAGCTCCTAAATCAGCCTTACCCATGTCAAGGTCAGAATGACGCAATGACCTGAACTCCAGAGCATTGTCTCCTGTCACTTCCCAGCTCAGCCCGTGCTCCCTGAGAGCAAGGCCCTGGCTAGAGTAGGAAGTGACAGGCTTGCCATACTGTGGCCTTTCCTGCCCAGCCCATCTCCCTCAATTCCTGATGAAGGCCTACTCACTGCTTGAGACCCTCCCCAAGTAAGACCATCCCCCCATTTTAGATGGTCTCTTCTCTACCCCCTATTTTAGATGGTCCTTCCTCTGGACTCCCAGAGCACCTGGCTCTGCCTTTGCTCAAAACAGTGTTTCCAAACAGTGGATTCCCCACTGCACACCAGGCACTTTACATAAAATCTATCCCCACTGCCCCCAATGCCTCCATTTTATAGGTGAAGTAACAGGCGGCCCTAACATGGCCTCTGAGGACCTCAGCAGGGCTCTGAGCCTCCACTGGCTCGTTCCCATGCATTGAGAATCCAGCTCTCCACACCCGTGCCTTCCCCACCAAACATCAGGTGAATCAGTTCCTAGTACAAAACGAAGACTGGAACCACTAGTCCCTAAAGCAAAGGTGATGGAGGTGGTGAGGTGACGAGCCGGGTACCATTCTCAGATGTTCTCGTGGGTTCACTCAGTGACTCCTCACACATGCCCTGTACGTTATTGTCCCCATTTTACAAATGAAGAAACTGAGGCATGGGATGGTTAAAGATCCTTAGGTATTCCAAAGCCTGGCCCCAGAGTCTGTCCTAACCTGGTCATAGGATAGATAACGAAAATAACTAGTGCTGGCTGGGTGATGTGGAATGAATCTGAATTTACTGACAGAGTGCTGCTTTTTCTTGGCACCCTTCTGGAGGCCTGCAGGAAAAATGTAGCACTTAGAGCGTGACTGTAATCTTGTCTCAGTGCTCCAACTGCCCTGCGGAGCTCTTTGCTTCGTTGATCTGCTGAACAGCAAGCTACATCTGTTGTGTAAAAAGTGGTGGTGGGGGGGGAGGATATGCATTTGTGTTTGCATCACTAAACCCTGAAAGAATATATAAAAACTACTGAAAGCAATGCCGGGGTGGAGGGAAGCACAGTGTGGAATGAAGGAAGGTTTTTTCCCCTCTGTACTTATTTATTTGCTCATTGCACCCCGGGAATGTAAAAAAACAAAAATCAAAAAACTGTCTTCTGAAATTATGTTTAAAAACAAAGCAAACTGCTCCTCACCACGTGTTCCCCGTGGCTCCCCCCAGGTCTCGCGGTGGCCAGCGCCCTGGTGGACATTTCTCAGCAGATGCCAATAGTGTACAAAGAGAAGTCAGGAGCCGTGAGAAACCGGAAGCAGCAGCCCCCCGCGCAGCCCGGGACCTGCATCTGAGGCTGGGCTGGGGACTCTCCGTGAGCGAGCCAGGGGGGGCGGCGTGCCGGCGCCGTCTGCAGGGAGGGGGCAGGCGGGGAGACGCTGCGTGGAGCGGGCCGAAGACTGGAAACCCTCGACACATCCGACTCCTCTGCATGTTCACAAGCTTTCTTTGCCGGTTTCTCCCATCTGTGCTCCAGCATCTAACCTTTTACTTTTGCATAGGAAATAATGGATTGAATAGCAGGTCCAGGGGGGATCCAGTTGTTGCTGGAGGAGGCCGGGGCAGAGCCAGTGAGAGAGCTGGGAGCGACACTCAGGTTCACTTGCGGAAAACTGTTCTTGGGGCCGTCTCAACTTGCAAAAAAAAACAAAAGATGTAGTGTTTACAAGTAGACATTCACCACCAGTCGTTCTTGAACATGGTCTTTTAAAAACTAGTCAGATGAATGAATTTGTTCTCATCTGAAGCCTGCTATCTTTTTTAAAAGATGTGCTACTTATTCTCGCACGACGTAGGCAAATCTCTCTCTTGCAGGGAGTAGCTTTTTTCTAGTTGAGAACTCACAATGGTCCATCTCTTTTGAATCATACCAAACTAAGGTAGAAGGGGGCTATTTTAAATGTCAAGGTCAGCAGTGTTACCTAGAATGTAAACTGATGTAATAGGTAGTTTTCTATAGCAACTTGATTAATTTAGTCTTAATCCATTTGAAATCCTCTCCCTCTGTCTCTCCCTCTCTCTTGTCTCTCTCTTTCTCTCTCTCTCTCTCTTTCTCACTCACACACACACTTACACACACACACTAAGTGCCTAGACTTGAAATAGATCTAGCAATTGGAGAGTTAGTAAGCCTAAGTTTTTCCATAATTGCATTCCTGCATTCTTACAAAATTTAAATAGCTACCATTGGCAATCTGCTCTTTTTCTAAAATCTAATTTGCAGCCAGGAAAGAATTTTCTCACCCCAGGGAACGTTTAACCTAGCAGCAGGGACTGAGAGGAAAGCAGAAATGACCAAACTGTGAAAGCTCCTGTTGATGTTGCTGTCAAAAGACAAGAGCACTAAATAAGGTGTGGTCCTCTTGTGCCCCCTGCCCCCCACCCCCCACTCTAGGCCTGACATTGGCTCCAGCCCTTCTGGCCGCTCCTGCCAGGACACCACTGAGGAAGGGACTCGTCCATGTCATGTGTCTCTCTTGGGCAGAAAAGAGCATGCCAGCGCTTGGGATCCCTGCGTCAGAGCAGCAGTGTGCCCTGTAGCCTGCCCTGAGCTGCTGGGTCATCCTCAGGCTGCGGGTGGAACTGCATGGCCAGAGCCTGGAGAAGGACCTGGAACGTTTTGGTTTGCCCGCTCTCCTCCAGGAGAGGCTCGGCTCGGCACCCGCATCTGCCTTCCCAGCCCCGGGTGCTGGCTGTGGGCAGGGCAGTGACCACCAAGAAGGATGAAAAGCACATGGAGAAAATGGATGAGGAGGAATAACCATGCCATGTGGAAAGTGACCACGCTGAAGTGGGGCGGGGCAGTCCTGCTCTTCTCCGCAGGCCACTGCCTGCAGGTTGTGGGGTCCCTGTGTATGGTGCTCTGGATTCTGGCATTATGCGGCAGCCTCCCCAGGTCTCCCTTCCGCTTCAAAACTTGGGTTCTCTGGCATTATCCCGTAGGGATGAATCTCTAGGTGACCACGCTCGTTTGTGAGTTTGGAGAAATTAATACTCGAAAGAGCAAAGACTGCAGCATTTCACCTTTAAATGCAGTGCCTAGAGTAGGAGTGCTGTCTCTTTCCCAGCACCAACCCCTCACCCATGAAGAGTTTCCTGGAAAGATGTTTCCATGGAAGTTGAACCCTAAAACACTATCTGATGCACAAAACACCTCTACTTGGAGACTCTCCTCTCAAAAAGCTGCTTTTTCACATCATTGGCAAAGAGCAGACAATTCTAGATAAGACCCCTTCTCTTCCAAGCTTCCCACACCCCTGCTCCACATCACGGCACCCACAGAGAGCCTGTCGCAGACTGGCGCCTTCCCCTGTAATTGCCATGAGGCCTCTTGGCAGAGAGAGGGAGGCCGCTGGAGAAGGAACTCCCACAAGGAAAAATCCTTGTTTGTTCAAAGGACCAGTATTTCTTTGGCCAAAGAAGTCTCTTCCCCATGGGTTCCCAGGCCTTGAAATAACATGCACCGTGTCCCATAGCCACCTGGTTTGTTGTTGTTATTTTTTTCCTAAAAGATAGTTTATTTTTAAAAAGGAAGGAAAAAGGAGCAAGTGATGTTTACTTAGGCTCCAGCAGTGGAGAAACAGCTGAATCCACCTGCTTATCCTCTGCAGCCAATGGCAGCTTCCTCGGGGCTCAGGCCAGAGGAAGGGAGTGGCAGGAGAAGGAGGCACTCGGCTTAGGAGCCAGTTACCCAGAGGGAATCATCTGGAACTTCAGAGAGATGGCTGCGTGTCACAGGAGAGCCTGTATATAAGTTAAAATAGTCATGAAAACATTAATGTTGCACTTGTACATAATTATACAGTAGTGTCCAGAATGTTCAGACTTTCAGAGTGTACATAAAACAGAAAACTATGTTAATGTTATTTTTATTAAATGTAACGGTGTCTGAGTTTTACCTGATATGTTTTTGTGCCACATACCGGATATCCAGGTCTGAAGAAGTCCTCTCATTGGGCCCTGATACATTGATAACAAAACCGGGGCGGGGGGGGGGGGGAAGCATCCCCATTGTGCCAGTGTGTCCAGATGCATCTGGTACGAATCGGTTGATTCTAAAACAGAAATCGTCTGTCAGGACACAAAGGAGAAATCAGGCCTGGAGCCCATTTAAACAGCGTTATGTGAGGAGCATCAAAGGCAGTGGGCCTGTTGCTGTCACTGCTGCTGGCTCTGCAAGGGAGTCGTGAATCTATTAGCCTCTTGGTGCTGTGTCTGGCCAGGGATGACCAGTCTTGTCCTGAGAAGCATTTCTCTTAGTCTCTCAGTTCAAAGACCCTATCAGATTTTCTAGAAAGGGATTTTCCAGGCTGCCTTTTGTTCCGTTTGGTCCACAATTTTAACGACCATTTCCTAGGAGGGTGGTTCCCTGTTCTGAAAATCAGGGGTGGGAGGAGGGTGGCTAGTTCGCTGATGCATAGCTCCCGTTTCCTCCCGGAGAAGTGCGCCCAGCCTGGCCACCTGGCCATCTCCCACTCGTCCTATTACAGTTTGCGGAGAAGTCTGCGCTCCCTGTGAGATCCCCTCTAAGAGATGGGAGGAAATGTGGAGAGAAGGCAACCCACAGGTACTCCCCCGAGCCAACCTGGAGGGAGAGCCGCCCTGGGCAGGAAAAGAGCAGAACATCGGGCCTGAAGCTCCCGATGGGATACTCACTGGGAGGTCTGGGGCGAACTTAAGAAAAAAGTCATGGGACCTTTTCAGTGTACTTTGCTCCTTCGGTTCAACGGAGTGTATCTGGGGAGGGGTTGGGGGTTCACTTCCTTGGGTGCTGGTGTCATTTTCGAGAACACCCTGGATCCTTCAGTTTCTTTCAACCATCCACTCCCTCAATGAATACTCACTAAGCACTTACTAACAACCTAAGCTAACACGAAGGGCAGTGACCAAGATGGAAAGCCCTTTGGAATGACAGCAAGACCCAACTCGCGCCTCTCATCCCAGAAGAACTTTTCTCGTGGAGGTTTCTGTGAGAATTGGCCGCCCTGAGGACAGACCCAGGAAGGCAGAAGTTCTGTCCTCAGGCCAAGCGCCGGTTCTCAGTCTGAAATGTGTGCCCAATTTACCAAACTTGGCTCCAATCATAAAAATCACCGTGACGGCAGGCCTGCCAAGAGACATTTCCCCGGAATCATCCAAACTCCTAAACACCCTTACCTGCAGGGAGATGGTCTGGAGTGGAGAGGAGAACTGGCGCCTTCTCTTTCAAAGGCAATAATGGCATTGACTTTCAGTAACTGAAATTTGTGCACAAAACATTCTAAACACTAGTGAAGCCTGTTTCGTTGAATTAATTCTGGCTCTGGAAATGTTTTTGTTTTATAGGTATTTACGGTTTTGTTTTTGTTTTTATTTTTGGTTTGGATTCAAGCTTAGTTTGTTAATATGTATAATTTAGCATCTCTTGCACTCATGTAAATATGGAGTAAGTATTGTAAACTATTTCATTGCTGGGGACTGTGGGTGTTATACATACATTTAGGACTGCAATTTTTTGGTATTTTTTGTATTGTAAAATAACAGCTAATTTAAGCAGGAACAAGATAATTAAGGGAGGTCTGTGCATTTTAAACACAAATGTGAAGAACTTGTATATAAATAAAAGTAAATACTATAATACAAACTTCCTTCTGAAATAAAAGTAGATCTGGTAAAAATGTGGTTTTTGCTCCGAGTGTTGAATTTTGGTTTTTTGTTTTGCTTTCTTTTCCTTTATTTTTACAGTTTGATCATTAGAACCTTACAGAAAGGGGGGAAATGCTTAAAATGGTCACCAGTTTTCAGACTAAGAGGAAGCCCTTGGCATTCAGTAACGGTCAAGGTATAAAACCAGCAGGGTGGGCCCCTCGGCTACCTTTTGGGGCCAGGGGTACAGAGAGCCCTGTGCAGCCTGTGAGCAGACTCCCAGTGTCCCCACTGTAGTCGGTGTTGCGCTTGAAATGACTGTGCTGGGGAGACACAGTCGTGTAAGAGCACCTCTGCCCTGGTGTGGGGAGGGTCCCCGGAGTGGGGGCCGACAGGGGTGGGGAACAGTCCAGGCCGAGGCCCAAGCCACCACAGGTGCCCTTGGTCTTTGACCTTCTCGTTCTCTCACAGGTTCCTGAATGTTTAGGTTTTCCAGACTGCTCAATCTCAGGTGTGCTGACAGGTCGAGTACTCCACGGCCATGACGTGTCCTGGGATGTTTCCGATGTTCTTCCCACCCAGAGAGCTGTGTCTGGGGGTGCAGCTCCTGTGCGTGGAACAGGGTCAGAACAGTACATGGGCACCCTGGTATGGAGGGCAGGAGTCCTAGAAGGAAGAACAGCTTAAGAGGAGTTGAGAACTGAAGAGGAAACACAAGGAAATGCCGTGGTTCCTGTAGGGGAGGGAGATTGAGGCATTAAGTCCCTCCGGCCCATCAGCGCATGGGACTGGGCTGGGGAGGTAAATGGTGGGACTGGTGGCCACTGCCAGGGTGGAGAAGACCATGAAACCGTTCAGGGGGAAGGGCCGTGGGAGCCACCAATTGCTTAGGACAGGATGAAGACCTGTGGGAGCGTGGTTTGTAGCAGAGACAATGCCCTGTGTTCACCAAACCTGTTAGAATTTGCCATTGGGAATATTTATAGCAGCAATGTCCACGATAGCCAAACTATGGAAAGAACCTAGATGTCCATCAACAGATGAATGGATAAAGAAGATGTGGTATATACATACAATGGAATGCTATGCAGCCATCAAAAGAAATGAAATCTTGCCATTTGCAATGATGTGGATGGAACAAGAGGGCGTTAGGCTGAGTGAAATAAGTCAGTCAGAAAGATAATTATCATATGATCTCCCTGACATGAGGAATTTGAGAGGCAGGGCGGAGAGTTGTAGGGGGTAGGGAGGGAAAAAATGAAACAAGATGGGATCAGGAGGGAGACAAACCATAAGAGACTCTTAATCTCACAAAACAAACTCAAGGATATGGTGGCTGGATCCCTATCCCCAGGGACAGGTGGGGATAGGGTGACTGGGTTATGGACATTGGGGAGGGTATGTGCTATGGTGAGTGCT